AGCAGAGCTAAACCACTTGTTTAAATTTAAACAGAAGTGACTGTCGAGAATTGACTAAAACCAGCCAAAATTAGTCTCAGTTAACCTGGTACGAGCACCCAGCAATATCAGATGCAAGTCTCACTCCTTTCTTCTCTCAAAGATATTTTCTAAATTATTCTGTTCATTTACACTACAAAGTTTACCCAGCCAATAAATTAACAGCATAGATAGTAGCTGGTTACTATTTCAACATCCGATGAATGCTGTCAGCCAACAAGGGCACTACAAAGCCAAACCATTACACCACTGAAAATCCTGAATATGTCACCTTTTCCAGAAAGAAACCTCCTAGATTCTTGATACAGGGACATAGGACATGCTCCTCCTCCACGTCATTTAACTCCACATAATTGAATTTTGCCAGAAGCTTTAACACATTTTACAGGCTCCCACTTTTAACCATGCTAACATATCTGCTTACACAAGAACAGTTGAGCCATGGACCTTTGGTATTGCCTTGAACAATCATCACAGATCTTTTGAGTGGACAAAACATATAAAATAACGTTAAAAAATTTAAGAAAATATTTACATAAGCATCATAGCCTTCTCTCATATATAAGGCAACACACTCAAAAATAAACTGCATGGTTTTCCACCCTTAATACACTCATCCAACTAGAAATTTTGCTTCAAGGAAAGTTTATCAGCCTTAGAAACAAAAAATAGTGAGCTCACCTAGGTCTAGCATTAATGAATTTAAATGCCCTTTTTATTCACCTTGCATTAAAACAAAGTCTAATCTCATCTTGTACTTCTAGAATATTCATGCCATATTAAAATCAGTCAGCTATCAGCCAATCTGGATGAGCTTCTCATTTAATAAAAACAGATCAAGAGAATACATTATCTGTTCCCATGTTAACACTGCACATGAAGCAAATAAAAGAAGTGTTCAGAAATGCATCCACATTTAGAACTTAATTTTCATTAAAGATCTGTGCCCCCCAAAAACTTGAAACTCCTGAACATCTGAGTGACTTAAGACTCCATACAATGTACCTTCATGTTTTTCCTTTGGGCCAGGCAGTTTGAAAAGACTGGCAGTGACATAAAAAAGGAAAAAGTACTGTAAGACTATGAAGTAAAACAATTATCTTGTAAAGAATGCTGTAAGACCTGAATTTTGGCAGAAAAGCTGCAGGCACAGGGGGTAAGAAATGGCCACCTCAGAGCACCATGTCTCTTTGCGGTTGTTTTACCATTACAGCCTTCTTGGTTTGGTAGCCATTTGTGGTCAGAGCTATTCTAATCCTCCCGATTTCTGATTTCGGCTATATGGGTGGGGAAGAAGTGACCTCTGCCCATCCTTCACTCCTCCCTAGCTCCTCAGATACCTTTAACACCCGATGCTCTGTCCCAGGGAGCACCAAGGACTCCCATGCAGAGCACCTGGAGGCCAAGCATCCTGAAGAAACCAGTGTCCATCTATCTAAGCACAAGTACAGAGTAGAGAACAAGTCCTGGGCAACCAGTGGAAGAAGCCTGGCCTCCCTGTGTTCATCAACAGGCATTTCTCACCTACCCACCACCGGTACAGCAACAGCAGGATGAGACAGTCTATCCTTCCCACATTTTCAACACAAAACTACAATAAAATACAAACAAACAGCAGCCCAGTATTCAGAGTTCAAGCGAGAACCATCAAGTACAATAAGGTCCAAGACAGCATCAGGTCTGACTCTTCCACAATTTCCCTATGTGTTCCCAAAGGGAAATTGGATGGGGATTTTGAAACCATTCATGTAACTAAAAAGATTATTTGGCTTGCCAGCAAAAGCCTATATTCCTTATTCATGACCTAACATTTTACTTAGGAGTGCAACACTGCAGCACTGTTATGCTGAAGTCTTACCACACAGCAGTTGTATGCCACCAATTAAAATTAATTATAGCTGTTGAAAACCTTAGAATGCAAACCCTTCCAAACTGCAAGGGCACGCTAATCCCGCTCCAGTTCTTCAGTTTCAGGAAGGAACAATAAACTTATTTTCTAGCTAGAATCTGACTACAGCTTTCACATCTTGACAGATCTAAACCCCAGCTCTAGTTTGGTTCACATTTGGATCCTACCCTAATCCAAGCCATGGTTTTGGTTCTGAACCCTAAAGCCACCTTTTCAGTGAAATAAAACCACTGAACAAGAACAGCTCACAAGGTCTTTGTACAGACAGACAAAAAAGGAGACGGACACACAGGCAACGGTACAACTGGGCTGAAAAAATGCTGAGCAAGGGCAGGGATTAACGCCTGCGCAGAACCTCAATCCTGCGAGTTTTTAACTCTCAGGCTCTAGAAGTAACGAGCACAAGTGTGCATCCCCAGAAGAATGGCAACGTACAGTTTGGGGCAGCTTTACTGCGAAAAGGCTCTAGGATAGGTTTTGATGGCGTGAGACGGCAGAGGCAGTCATTTTGTCTTCAGCAGCGTGGTGATGGCTTCCACCCAGCCTTCTGCTACATATACCTGAACTTAGCATTTCTACCTGGCACAGCTTATCTAAAAATTCCCAAAATGCCATGAACAGAGTGATTACTTGACAGCACTCTGAATGCTTTCCCAATGACACTCCCTAGCTGAATTAAGAGAGTAATCTACAAGTCAAAAGCCCAAGACAACACTCACCCATTCACACCTTCTCCCATGGCTTCCTTCAGGCAAACCAATCACAAAAGCACAGGCTTTAATCCCAAAGTGATTAGAGACTTTTGTCATTCAGTTAAAACTTTGTCGATGCAGCCCAAAAAGCTGGCTTTCCAATTTCACATTCCAGCCGAGGAGACCTGGCATCGCCTCCAGGGCCAGCAGACAGCAGGATTCAAGAAGAACCAGCACCTTCTCATAGGGATTCACACCAGTTTCTCTAAAGCAGTCGAATAATATGCAGAGGGGGGGTTTCCTACAATTAGAGGCCTAAAAAATTCTATATTAAATTGAAAATATCTAGCAGTAAGATGCGAGTTAAGATGAAGCACAAATAATGTAAACTAGTGGGAACTGGGGAATGATTACAGACGATTTCTTCACACGCAGTCAGTTTAAGAACTCCTAAACAAGCATCACTAGGAACAAGAAACCAATTACCAGGGAAGCTTCATACTGCAGTTTTCCCATCACAATCTCTCTCTTAGGTGTAAGTGACCCAAACACTGAAATTTCTGTTCTCCAATACATTTGGCAGTCTTTTGTAGTTAAAGCTATTCCATTACACACAGTACATTAGAATACATCTATTCCAGTTCCCCTGCTAGAGCGTACTGACAAATACAGCAAGAGGATGAATCCCCAGTCCACATGGTCGCTCTGTGGTGACAGGGCCAGCCTGGCCAGATGCACGGCAGAACACCAGCCCATTCCTACGGGTAAGCCTTCCCAACGCACCCCAGACACCATCTCAAATTAATTTCAGGCTACCAAAGAAAAACTCCCAGCATTTGGGGTTCAGTTCCAAGGCGAAGCCAAAGGCCAGGCCTGCCCACAGGGCTCAGCTCCCCTTCAAATCACTGGGCAACTCCACAGCCTCTCCCACTTGCCCAGGAGCCCCCAGGGCCACCTCCAGGCTAGGTGAGAGGAGAAGGGGTTGAACCCCTCACCTGCAGCCCTTCAGGTCCTCCTCAGGGCCTTACCTTGCCCAGCTGGACCAGCTCTGTATTTTGCATTTCTGGCTAATAAAAGCACGGGGAAGTGCTCCCCATATTTCTTCAGGAAGGAGTGCTGAGGTGAATTATGATTCTATTGTGTAATGAAATCATCAGGGGATAAAGATGGGGCCATACATCCATCCCCGCCTACCCTAGTAGGCCAAGAGTAATTTACAAATAGATTGAGCCACCTTTAACAAACAATCAGGAGCTCAGGCTTACTGTATTATGTTATGTACATGCTATTCTCAGATAAGGCCATAAAGCTCTATCAGCAGGTGTGAGTTTAAGGACTCCAAATTATAATTATAAATTAAATTTTCTAGTTGCCGCCAAAATTACAGAATAACTCAGACTAAGTAATAGCTTCAGAAGAAAATAAGAATCTTCTTGGATTTTTCTCTTAGGTCTCATTCAAATAGATGCTAACACAAATCAGGAAACGGACACTAAAAGCTTCACAAGGAAAAAAATTAAGCATATACTACTGCATTTTTTACAAATGTGAGAATATAAAAATCAAAGAGTATCAGCCATGTCCCAAAACAGCGAGAGACTGCACCTAACCCGTCCCTCTTTAGAGTGAAGTCATCCAGTAATATCTAAAGACCTAGAGCCCAAACCAGATCTTTTATGTGAAATCTTTATTTTAAAAGAAGGTATTTGGATAGACAGGCTTCAACCAAACCAAAGCACTGGTTCAGAGGCCTAGAGATGGGGAGCACTCAGTGCTTGCTCAGTCGCAAGCAGCAGGGAACAGCCACAGCTCCAGCGCAGGGGAAAGGGTGAGTGAGGGGGCAAGCTGATCTTCAACCTTTATAAAAGCAAAACGCATTTATATTCATCACAAAAGGAAAGTTCCCTCCTGCGAATGCGCTCCAAGCTCATTTATGTTCAGTGTCTTTTTAATACAGGCCTGCAATATAAAGGATGCTCCTGCTAAATCACGCTGCTGCTTTCTGGAGGGGTCAGGGGCAGGGGAAGAGGAGCTCCCCGCGGCTGTTCTCAGCAAGCTCTGTGCGCTTGGGCAAAGCCACTCGGGACCTCTCCACGCAGTGACAGGGCCCACGCCAGCACCCTGTATCGGCGCCGGGTGCCAGGGCCGAGGGGGTTAAGCGGGAGGAGTGGAGATAAGGTGGTGGCTGCGGAGCCAATGAGGCCGGTGCGCTATAGTTAGACCCTGGATGCTAAGCCAGGGTGACTATAAAGGCTGCTAGAGATGAGCTGCTGGAGATGACACCCGCATGTTGCCCTTAGCACCTAGGCTTACAAAGCAGAAAAAAAAAAAACAAACGCAGGAGGATCAGCTCGGCTTACCTGAAGTTCACACCATGCAACTTCCACCCACGTCTCCGTGTCCAGACCCTTATAGACCGTTTTGAAGGATCCCCTCCCGAGTTCAATATCAAACTTTAGGAACCTGCCATCCAGCGAGGTGGCAACCGCTTTCATATCAGCCTCCTCCTCGGGCTCCTCTTTCTTCGCCTTGCTCTGATCCTTGGCAGCATCCGACGTCTCTTTCCTCTCCGCATCTTTGCCCGGCTCCTTCTGC